CCCCAGACAGCCGCCTCGTCCGGCTGGTGATCGGGGAGGACCGAGACCTTGCCTTGGTCGCCGACCCTCGCGACCCGAGGCGGCCAGTCCAGACGAGGGAGCGCGCGGGAGCCGGCGCACTCACGCAGCGGGTATCCGCCTTCCTCGGAGGACTCTGGCCCGCGGGGCTTCGGGAGGAGGACGAATCCCCGCGGGACCGCCGAGCGGTCGCGCACCTCGACCGCGCCACCCTGCGCGTCCCCGAAGGCGTTCCCGGCCACCTAGACTGGGGCGGCAAGACCTTCCTCGCCCTCCTCCGGGAGTACCCCGAGCGGCGTCGCCAGCTCCGCCGCCGCCGGCAGGAACCCCGTCTCCACGCGCTGCACAAGTTTCGGGATTGGCTGCGGGAGGAGTCTGCCTCGGGGAACCCCTTTGGAGGGGAGCCAGTCCCTCTGACCCCAGGGGGGGAGGAGACGGAGGACGACCCGGCGGACTTCATCCCGGCCGGGCAGGAGGCCTCAGGATGGACGGTGGAGGGAGCCTCCGAGGTGCCCCTCGCGCCCCGCCTGGAGCCGGACGTCAACCCGCGACTCTTGGTCGCGGTCGACACCGCCAACGGAGGCATGACGTTGGGTCCGACTTCCGGGCCAAGTACTTGCAGGTCGCCCGCACCCTCGGACTCGACTTCGTAAGAGGCCTCCGGGTGGACGAGGAGCCCCACCTGTTCCCGGGACTCGGGCAGGGCAGCGCCCAAGCACGCCGGGTCTGGAACTTCCGCCTGGCGGCGAACGGGAGGGAGTACACCATCCGTTCGGCGGAGCTGCTTGGTGCCGACCTCCGGGACATGGACCTGACCCTGGGGGTCCCAGACCAGCAGTACCTCGGGATGGACATTCTCCATTCGCAGGGAGTTATTGACCTCTGGGAGCTTGGCGCCCGGGGGCTGCCGATCGTCCAGAACGCGTCAGGCCACGTCTGCTACACGGCGACCCTGCCTGCCCCCTCAGGGGGCCTGCCTGCTCGCCCCGGACAGTGGAAGGCCTGGCGGGACCCGACCACGGAGAGCCTGACCCTCTACCCCTTCCACGCGGGCGGAGCCCCCTCGGGAAGGGGGGGCGCCCCCGCGGGCGCGACCGAGGTGGTGGGGGCCCGTCCCGCGCGCGCTATGAACCCCCTGCATCAGGAGGCCGTGGCGCAGATGCATAGGGACCTGGTGGCTATGGGCCGACCGGAGGCGGCCGCCCTCCTGCTCAGGCCGATCCTTCAGGATGAGGGACCGCCCCCTCATGCGGACGTGGAGGATGGGATCGGCGACCCCCGGACCCACATCCGTGGGGGGCCGACCCTGGTCGTCCGGGGGGCGGAGAGATCCCATGCCAGGACGACGGAGGGGGGGGCGATCCGCAACTTCCAGAGGGGCGGGGAGTGGCACTCCAAGTTCTGGCACGACTTCGCGCGGCGGTGCGGGAGCAGCGACTTCGACCCCGACCGGGCCCTGGACGTTGCCCGCGCCTTCCTGTCCCAGGTGGAGGATTACGGGCCCCTGGCTGACCAGCTGGACAACGAGGGGTGGGAGGATCTCCACGCCCAGGTGCGGGACCACCTCGCGGACTACCCCCCGGACTTCAGGGCGAGGCAGTACCTGTACCGGCAGCCCGCGGAGGTGGCCCGGAGGGTCCTGCGCGACTGGCGCCCCTCCGACCCCGGGATGACCCGGCACGAAAACTTCGCCAAGTACTACACGGGCCTAATCAACCAGAAGCGGGAGGAGGTGGTAGAGGAGATCCACCAGGCGGCCTATAGTGCGGACGTGGAGGATGGGATCGGCGACCCCCGGACCCACATCCGTGGGGGGCCGACCCTGGTCGTCCGGGGGGCGGAGAGATCCCATGCCAGGACGACGGAGGGGGGGGCGATCCGCAACTTCCAGAGGGGCGGGGAGTGGCACTCCAAGTTCTGGCACGACTTCGCGCGGCGGTGCGGGAGCAGCGACTTCGACCCCGACCGGGCCCTGGACGTTGCCCGCGCCTTCCTGTCCCAGGTGGAGGATTACGGGCCCCTGGCTGACCAGCTGGACAACGAGGGGTGGGAGGATCTCCACGCCCAGGTGCGGGACCACCTCGCGGACTACCCCCCGGACTTCAGGGCGAGGCAGTACCTGTACCGGCAGCCCGCGGAGGTGGCCCGGAGGGTCCTGCGCGACTGGCGCCCCTCCGACCCCGGGATGACCCGGCACGAAAACTTCGCCAAGTACTACACGGGCCTAATCAACCAGAAGCGGGAGGAGGTGGTAGAGGAGATCCACCAGGCGGCCTATAGTGATTACTTGGCGCGTGTCGCCCCCCCCCGGAGGGGGCCCACCGCGTGGGGGGGGGCCCGGGCCTCCGGGGGAGGGACCGCGGACCCCGGGCGGAGCGGGGAGGGCCAGGCCCAGGAGCCCCCGCCCGAGCGCCCCCGACCCTCGGGGGGAGCCCCTTCCGGGGCGAGGTCCAGCACGGACGGCCCCCCTCAAAAGGGAGGAGGCCCGGCAAGGGCGCGCCTGACCGAGGAGCCAGCGGAAGGCTGGGAAGCGGCCCTAGGGGATGGCCGCCCAGGACGCCCCGCCCCCCCGCCCAAAGGCGGGAGCCCGAAGCCGAGGCCTCCGCAGAGACCCGCACCCGCCCGGGGGGGGGAGAGCAGGAGGGGGCTGGGCCCGAGGGCCCGCCACATCGACCTGCTGCCAGGCGCGCGGGTGATCTACCACAGCTTGACCTACGACACCTACGTAAACGGGGTCGCGCGGGGAGCGCGGAACGACAACCCCGACTACTACGACCTGGACGTCAAGCCCTACGCCCACATCGCGCGGATCTACCTCCCCGCGCCGCCGCCGCGCGAAGAGGGACCCCCGGAAGCGGATGCGCGCACGACGGTGCCAGGCTGCAGCGTGCGCTACAGTCCTCCCCCACCATCCCAGGCCCCCGGCGGGGGAGGAAAGGGGGAGGGAGGCCCGGCAACGGGTGCTCCGGGGAGAGGGGCGCCCAGCGGGCCCGGGGGCGTCCCTCCACCGGCGGGACCCCCACCCCCGAAGGAGGGAGGTCACGGGGCGACAGCAGGGGGTGGCGCGCCAGCCCAGGGCGCGGGGGGCTCAGCTGTGCCACACAAGGCCGCCCCAGCGTTCCCGGCGGCCGGGGCTCCCGCGCCGGGCAGCGGAGGAAGGAGCACGGCGCCCGCAGCGGGCGCCGGGCCCCAAGGCGCCCCCCCGCCCCCGGCGGAGCCCCCTCCACTTCGGACCGCATGCGTGATCGCAACCATGCGGGGCCCACCTTCCTCGGTCTTGGCCCTAGTGGAACGCCGCTCGGATGGGTCCCACTCCCTGGTGCGCGGGATCGAGCGGTGCGGGGAGGCGTCGGCCGTGGTTACCGCTTGGAGGGCCCTGGACGAGCAGCTCGGGGTCGCCCTCTCTCCGTCCACGAACTGCGACACCGTCCCCCGCGTCTGGGAATGCCCACAGCACCCTGCGGAAGAGACCCCTGGGGCTGCTCACCCCTACGCCCGGCGGCTCCACTCCACCCAGGACAGAGCCTACTACTACCACTACCATTCGGTACAAGGGAACCTGCGGCAGTGGAGGGACACGCCGGGCAGGGAGTACGTCCTGGTGTCGGTGGATGACCTCCGGAGGCTGCGCTTCCCCGCCGCCAGCGACCAGCGCGTGATCTGGAGGGCCCTGGAGCAGGCGGAGGAAGTGGAGCGAGTCCGGGCGCGTGCCCAGCCGGAGCCCCCGCCGGAGGGGGCGGCGGGCGCCGCGCCCGCATCCGGGGCGGCGGGGGGAGCGGCAGGCGCCGACCCATTCGTCGCCCGGCCCAGCCTCCGGATCACGCTCCAGGGGATAGCGGGCCCCCAGCACGTCGAGGGGCGTCACCGTCTCCTCCGGGCGCGCCTCATCACCCTCTTGGGCGTCCTCGACACGCCCGGTGACCGGGAAGCCCGGGGCTGCACGCACGAAGACGTCTTCGTGGCCTCCCTGGATCGAGGAGTCGTACTCCGAGGCTCACCTGGCTTTCTTCACGGAGTCGCGGCGCGCCCTCGCGTTCGCCTCCGGGGTCGGGCCCCCGGAGCTCGCCCGCAGGCCCGAGGCCGCGAAGAAGCTACTCGAGGAAGGAGATCATGAGGGGGCCCTCCGTGCGGCCCTGGGACCCGGGGTGGCCCCGGCGCAGCGACGGGCGGAGGGGGGCCCCGACCCCGCGCGGGAACCGGAAGAGCCTCCCCCGGAGGAGCCACCCCCGGCACCCGCAGACCTGGAGCGCGCCGGTCGTCCCCGGCCCTGCCGGACCGGCGCAAGGAGAAGCCCGGGACGATTCGGGGGAGTCGGGCGGGGGCGCAAGAGGAGCGTATGAGGAGGACCCCGACGAGGACCCTTACGACTGGGTGGCCAGCTAGATCCCGGAAGGGATGGCGGCGGACTGGGTGCGCACCCCCATGCTGCCGACGGGCGGCTACACTATCAGGGCGCCCATCCCCACAAGCTGGGTGCAGCTGTGGAAGCCAGAGGTCCTGCAGGAGATAGGCCACTTTCCCCCGGAGCTGGCGGCATGGCTGGACTCCACCATTCGGGTCGGGGGGGATGAGTGGACCCAGTTTGATGGGTGCCCGCGGAGCCTGGACACCCACCGCACCCTCCCGCCCCGCATGGAGGAGGGAGGCGCGGAGACGGTCTACTACCACCCGAAGCACATGCTGCTGTTCTTCGTGGAGGCGCGGGAGGTCTACAGGCTGATTCACCTGGTCCAGGGCCCAGTCCCCCAGCACCTCAGGGCGCGCCGGGATGAGCAAAACCTCCGAACGGGACGCCTCCCCCCCCCCGCCGCTTCGGAAGACCGCGGAGCCCGTCGCCGGCGGGGGGGCGGACGGGGCCGCGGGGGGGCACCCCGCTGGCGCGGCGAGCGGGGGCGGGAGACCCCTCTCAGATCAGGGCGCGGAGCCGCCTCAGGACGCACCCGCTGAGGAGGGGCGGGGAGGCGGGGGCGCGGAGCCGGGAGGGGGGGCGGACCAGAAGGGCGAGGCCGACCTTGTCGGGGCCGCCAGCCCGGCTCAGGGCGCGGCGGAGGACGGGTCTAGGCTGGAGGGGCCGGCCGAGTCACCCGAGCCCCCGGAGGGCGCCCAGTCCAGGCACCCGCGCTTCCAGCTGCCGGAGGAAGGGCCCCCGGGGCCCGAGCCGGCACCCCTGGCCGAGGGTCAGGGACCCCAGGAGGTGGAGCCGGCGGCGCCGGCCGAGGAGCAGGCCCCGCCGCAGGCTCCGGAGGAACCCGCCCCGACGCGGTGGAACATCTCCAGTTCCAGATCGCCCTGGAGGCCTCTGAGAAGGAGAAGGCCACGAGGGAAGCGGAAGAGTCCCCCGACGGCCCGGCCGGCGACGCGGGCGGGGAGCGCCTCGGGCGCAGCGTGCCGGGGGGAGGAAGCCCTCCGGCCCCGGGTGGAGGAAGGCGCTTCCAGCCGCGCCAGAGCCTCTGGTCGGAGAGGGGCCACGAGGAGGATGGCACCTTCGAGACCCGGGAGCTATTCTGGTCGGACGCGTGGCGACAAGCCCCGAGGGGTGGCGGCTTCCGCCACGTCCTGCAGGTCCTGGTGGAGATCCTCGTCGACGAGCAGAGGGCGGGGGTCTCCTCCTCCCCCGGTGGAGAGCGCCTGTTCCACCTGGAGGACTTCAGCCGCAGGGCCCAGGCGGGACTGGGCCAGACCAACGGGCGGATCGCGGAGGAGTACCTGAAGGACACGTTCGGGGAAGGCGCTCAGACCAATACCAACCCGTCCACCGGGGGGGAGTACAGGATCCCCGAGGTCATGGAAAAGTTGCAGGAGACGAGGGAGGCAGCCCTGCGGAGGAGCCTGGAAGTGACCCGGCCGGAGGCAGAAGCCCCGAGACCAGCCCGGGGCGGGCTACCCCGTTCCCCCCGCGAGGCTGGGGAGACCGCCGCACGGAGCAAGGGGGGGGGCCCTACCAGCCGTGCACGGGAGGCGACCCCGGAGCCCCCGGCGGGGGCGATACTGCAGCTGGAGGAGACGGACTGAGCCGGACCCGGCCTTGTGCGGACGTCCGGGAGGCGGGTGGCCCTCTCCATTAATTCATCACGGACCCTCCTCCCTCTGGAGGGGTGGCCCCGAGTTTTTGGGCCCCCCTGCGCGCGCGCCGGCCGCCGAGTCATGAACGTGTTAAGCGGCTGCGCAGGATGCGGGCAGGGCGACCCCCGCGCGGCCCCGGTCACTCTCCCCTCCCCGCCCCACGCGGCGCACTGCGCGGACATGCCCCGGCGCGCCTGGAGTGGAGCTCCCCCTAGGCGGGGCTTGGTGGTGGAGCTGGCCCGCGGCCCCCTTTTTAAATCGTCTCGTGGGGCCCCGCCCCCTGCCTGTGAGCAGTTTGCCCACTGGAGGTTGGCGGTGGCTTGGACTTTTACCGGAGGGTGGGGCCCGGGACGGGCGCGGGCGGAATGCCTGCGGCTGTGCTCGCGGTCGTCGCCAAAACAGGGCCCCCTCCTCTCTCGACAGTTAACGGAGTTTGGGGGGAATATGGTCTCGTTTGGCTATGCCTAAACGGTTTTATTCCTCCCCAGGCCGCAGTGCTCTGGCTCCCTCCCCTTTTTCCCTTTCCCCTCTTCCGCAGCCGCCTGTGCTTCGAGCTGTGCTTTTCCACCTCCCACCCCACAACTTTTTTCAAGGAGCTGTTCCCTGGAGTCCTCTTCGTCAGTCGGAGAGCTCCAGGGCGGAATGCCTGCGGCTGTGCTCGCGGTCGTCGCCAAAACAGGGCCCCCTCCTTTCTTGACAGTTAACGGAGTTTGGGGGGAATAATAATACACGCTCGATCCACATCCCAATCGCTGGAGGACGAGGGGGGCCAGGCAGATGAGGACGATAAGGAGATGAGGGCGAGGAGGAAGATAAGGATGGTGAGGAAGATGAGGATAAGATGAAGATGATCATGAAGATGATGATGAATGATGATAATGAGGAGGAAGATGAAAATGTGGAAGGTGAGGATGAGGAAGATGATGATGCTGAGGAAGAATATGTAATATGCAGATAAGAAGGCGATGAAGATGATGATGAGGATGGCGATGAGGATGAGGACGATGAAGATGAGGAGGAAGACGAGGAACATGAGAAAGCGAGGGGCGCAGAGGACGAGGAGCAGGAGGAGGAGAAAAATATACAATATCAGGAGACAAGGAGACGAGGGTGAGGAGAGGAGGGAGATGAGGAGGATGCTCCCCCCACCCCATCCACGGCTCCCCATGGCTCCCTCGTGGCTCCCCCCTTGGCTCCCTCATGGCCCCCTCAGGCCCCCGCCTGAGAAGTCCCCCAAAACGCAAACAAAAGGAGGCTCCCGCCAGAGAGGTTCCCGATGGAACACTCTAAACGATGCTCCCGCCTGAGAGGCCCCAAAAGCAAACAATTCAAAAACTCTGGGGAAACCATTGGAAAAACCAAAAACACCAAAGAAACTGAACTGTTGGAGCCGAAAACTTCAGGCAACCCATTGGAACAAAAAACCCACAAACAAAATCCACAGAGAGTGCTGGGATTCCCTTTGGACGTGTCCCTTCGGACGGGTGTTCCCTGGTTTTTTTTGGTTTTTCCAAGTGGTTTCCTAAAGTTTTCGCCCCCAGCACTTCAGTTTTTTTGTTCCCAATGGTTTTCCCAAAGTTATGGCACTCCTTCAGAAAAGGGGGAGAGGGGGAGGAGGCGGATGAGGACGAGGGGGAGGAGGAAGAGGAGGATCGGGAAGAGGATGAGGAGGAAGACGGAGAAGGATGAGGAGGAAGAGGAATGCGCGACGAACGAAAACGCACAGAAGAGAGAGCGAGAGAGAGGAGAGAGAGAGAGAGAGAGAGAGAGAGAGAGAGAGAGAGAGAGAGAGAGAGAGAGAGAGAGAGAGAGAGAGAAGAGAGAGAGAGAGAGAGAGAGATGAGAGAGACGAGAGAGAGAGAGAGAGAGAGAGAGAGAGAGAGAGAGAGAGAGAGAGAGAGAGAGAGGAGAGAGAGAGAGAGAGAGAGAGAGAGAGAGAGAGAGAGGAGAGAGAGAGAGAGAGAGAGAGAGAGAGAGAGAGAGAGAGAGAGAGAGAGAGAGAGAGAGAGAGAAGAGAGTGAAGGAGGAATGAGGAGGAGGAGGGAGGAGGTGAAGGAGAGGCTCAGGAGGAGGAAGAAGGAGGAGGTGAGAGCGAGGCTTTCTGCATAAAATATGTAAATCGCAGGGGTCCGAAACCGAACTGGAACCGAAATATCCTCACCCACTGGCTCAAAGCTGCCACCGAAATATCCTCGCCCGCTGGCATAAAACTGCCACCGAAATATCTTCACCCGCTGGCTTAAAATTGCCACCGAAATATCATCACCCGCTGGCTTAAAACTGCCTCTGGAATATCCTCACCCGCGGAAATAAAACTGCCACCGAAATACCCTCACCTGCTGGCTTAAAACTGCCGCCGAAATTTCCTCACCCGCTGGCTTAGAACTGCCGCCGAAATATCTTCACCCGCGGAAATAAAACTGCCACCAGAATATCCTCACCCGCTGGCTTAAAACTGCCATCGAAATATCCTCACCCGCGGAAATAAAACTGCCACCGAAATATCCTCACCCGCTGGCTTGACTGCCACCGAAATTTCCTCACCCGCTGGCTTAAAACTGCCGCCGAAATATCCTCACCCGCTGGCTTAGAACTGCCGCCGAAATATCCTCACCCGCGGGAATAAACTGCGACCGAAATATGCTCATCTGCCGGCTTAAAACTGCCGCCAAAATACCCTCACCCGCGGAAATGAATCTGCCACCGAAATTTTCTCACCCGCTGGCTTAAAACTGCCACCGAAATATCCTCACTGGCTGGCTTAAACTGCTACTGGTATATCCTCACCCGCGGAAATAAACTGCCACCGAAATATCATCACCCGCTGAATCACCGAAATATCCTCAACTGCTGGCTCAAAACTGCCACCGAAATATCCTCACCCGCTGGCTTAAAACTGCCACCGAAATATCATCACCCGCTGGCTTAAAACTGCCACCGACATATCCTCATACGCGGGCTTAGAACTGCCACCGAAATACCTTCACCCGCTGGCTTAAAACTGCTACCGACATATCCTCACCCGCGGAAATAAAACTGCCATCTAACGGCCTGGTGGTTCAGTTCAGTCTGTCTACCACGCGAGAATCAAATTACGGGCTGCGCCCGTAAATAAGATGATGATGAAGAAATACGAGACGATCGTGATCACATTTTGCCGATCAACATGGTCGAGAAGGAGCCCGCGCCAACAAATAAATTGCAAAGTGTGGGTTATCAGCGGAAAGTTGCGTCTTCAACTAAAGTGGTTCGACCAGACATGAGGGAAATATGCCCCTCCCATCCAGAGATGTTGTGCGACCCTGCAAGGGTCGCGCCATGACGTGAGCGCGGCTGTTCTTGAACGCGGTTCTGATGATTATGTCGGGGGACCCAGCCAACATTCATCCACCGAAATATGCTGGAATTTTTCGTGCAAGGACGGGCCTCGTCTTGATGCGCCGAAGGTTAGGGCACCGCGCGACTCGGCCGAGACGGAGAAGATGAAGGGGGCCTCAGACCAAGCCGACACCTCCAAGCACCTCTCGGTTGACGACGGCGACGCGGCGACCATATCGTCGGAGGAAAATGTCTCACGCAGTTCAACGCCCAAGACACTTGGTTCCTAAGATGGTCGGGGGCCATGCGATGAGGGACATGAGATCATTGACCAAGCGTCTCCTGCGTCGCTGGGTGATCTCCAACGGCCCCCATCGCGGGCACAGCCCACCCGCGGCAAGGATGCCGCGATCCCGCCCGGTGATTCCTTGGAACGGAATTTGGCGGAGATCCGAACCAAACCGAAGGCGTAACATTTTCATTTTCGGGTGGCAGACTACCGGGGCACAGCGAAGAATATACCATAATGGGTCGAGCACTTATGCGGCTGACAAGCGAGCAGGACAACGACATCCATTGGAGCGGCACCAACAGCAAGGTTTGACTCCACTTGGCCACCGACGGGATCACATACTGCAGCTCGAACACTATCGTGGGACATCAGACCCGCTGTTAGAGAATGAGCGGTCCGGTCTCCAGAAGACTACGCACTGCTAGCTGTCTTTCTATTGCGACGACGTCATACGACACAAACCTTGCGCATTACGGCGCTTAAGAGACCCGAAGCAGGATAGACCGCGCCGCCATGCCAGCAACAGCCCTCCCACTAGTCTCGAACTGCGCGATGCTCAGGACAGCGGCGAAGCAGCAATTCATTAGGGCTAGCGGACGCCAGGACCGCGCGCCAGCTGGTCTGATCTCGCCAGCGACGGACAAATCCAGCTTCCGTAGCCGACGAAGCAGGGCAAACAACCCCATCTGGACAGGGGAACGCCGACGGAGCGCCTCGCGAAGGGCAGGAGGATACCAGAGACCTTTGAAACAATAGAAATGAGGATGACTGAGACGGAGGATGAGAGTTGGGAGTTTTGCTTGGACGAGAGCGCGCCAGATGCTACCTGGCATGCGTGGAACGACGCTGGCAAGCCAGCGCTCGGCGACTGCTTTCAGCAAGGCAGGTGGGGCCTCAGCGCCGCAGAAAAAGAAGTTCAGCGCCGCCGCCTTGCGCTGCTGCAGAGAAGGCGAGAGCTGAGAGAACGGGCGTTGGGAGGACAGGCAGGCCGGAAGTTTGAAGTCGCGAAGCAGTTGTTGCATGGCGCGACGGGGCCTCTTCAAGACATTGCGATGATAATTAGAGCGAACGAGGATAGCGACCTTGGTGAAAGAGAGATGCAGGATGCAGCGCCAACGAAATGGAATATGGCCAGAAAGGAAATCGATAGCGTCGCCGCGAACGCCCACTGGGGCAACGACATGGATGGGGGGGCTGCACAGGGAGTCGGAGGAGAGGGGGCTTGTGGCAGAAAGAACAGATCTCGAGGAATACAAGCAGGACGACCTTTAATTGTTCGAGGAGCGCGAAGTTTTGCCAGGGAATGCGGGCACAAGGGGTGACGCGCAAGGAGACGAGC